ACATGAAAAGATGCTTACCACTAATCATTAGGGAAATGCAAATAAAACCACAATGAATTACCACTTCACACACATTATGATGGCTATTATCCAAAAAAAATTTTTTTAACTTGAAATAAGAAGTGCTAATGAGGATGTGGAGAAATTGGAACCCTGTGCATTGCTGGTGTGAATGTAAAATGATATAGCTGCTGTGGAAAGCAGTATGGTGTTTCCTCAAAAAACATTAAACATATGATCCAGCAATTTCACTTCTGAGTATATACCCAAAAGAAGTGAAGAGAGAGATTCAAACAGACACTTGTATACCCATGTTCAGAGTAGCGTTATTCACAATAATCAAAAGATGGAAGTGACCCAAGTGTCCATTGACAGGTGGATAAACAATATGTGGTATATACACACAATGGAATATTATTCAGCACTAAAAAGGAAGAAAATACTGACACAACATGCTACAACATGGATGAACCTTGAGGACATTATGCTAAGTGAAATAAGCAGTCACAAAAAGACAAATATTGTATGATTCCACCTATATGAGGTACCTAGAGTAGCCAAATTCATACAGACAGAAAGTAGAATGATGGTTGCTGAGGGGGTAGGGGTAGTGGAGAATGGGGAGTTAGTGTTTAATGGATACAGAGCTTCGGTTAGGGAAGATGAAAATGTTCTGGAGATGAGTGGTGGTGATGGATGCACATGTGAATGTACTTAATGCTACACTCAATACATACTTAAAAATGGTTAAAATGGTCAATGTTGTTATCTATAGTTTACTACAATAAAAAAGAGATAAAGGACAACAAAATATTAAAACATGTGCCAATTTCTTCTCATGTATGCCTCTTTCACTACCCACAAAACCAATACCCTGCCTATGAGTAGTTATTAAGTTTTAATGTAAATGTCTACCAGGAGTCCCCCAAAGTAAATATAACAATAAATTTTAAAATTATTTCTAACCCTTAAAAAATTTAATCTGCTTCCTCAGAATAAAGTCCTTTGCTGGATATAGATGCTAACGGCTATTACATGTCTAGTTCAGATTAAATTACTAAAATATCTAACATCCCTCCCAGTTTTGTATTTCAAGTATGATTAGTTTTAACCCTAGAGAATTTTTCCTTAGTTTTTCTTCCAAAGCCTCATAAAGACTATTTTCATTTTTACAGCAAAGTCTTTAGCCAAAATACCACCTTCCCCCCAAACTCATAGAAGCTCATCTTTACTAACTGGTAAACCTATCATCTTTATAGTAATCAATAATCATTTAGTTTCACCAATTTCAAGAATAAACATTAGAATCTCATAAATCTCCCTCCCTTAAGAAAACTGTAAACATGGGAAAAATACAAGCTTGAAATATCCTAGGCTAAATTTTGAGGATCCTTTCTAGGCAAACTCCAGTGTTTCTTAGAATACCTTCTGATTTCACAAATTGTTACAGAAATGTTCATTAATGAACTAACAAACCAGGTTTTGGGATTTCCTCTGAGCCATTAAAGTGCATTGTGTTATCCCTGTCCCCTTTTTCCTCACCCTTAAGTGTTAGGCAGACAAAAATCTACCTTCGAAGGTAGATTCTGATGTTTCCATGCTATAAATGCTATGTTCTGATACATTACAAACAATGCTTCTTAAACATAAAGAAAATAGATGAAAATTAAAAGAACAAAAAGTATCTACATACTTAAACAAAAGTTGAAAGGTCTAATTTAGAAAAAAAAAAGTATTAAAAACTTGTCTTTAATTCATTCCAGTGGAAAGAGAAAAGTAGTATTAAATAAATATAATCATCATATACATTTTCTATTTGTACTATCTAAAAACAAGAATGTATGTCATCAGTTACTATTTTTTCTTGATTTTTAAAAATGAATTCTTTCAAACATCATTTTCTATATATGTTAATGGTAGCATCTCCTCTACTAGGTCTACTTCCCGTGATTAAGTTTGTACAATTTGTAACTGTCATTGCATGTAACATATACATCTAAATGCCAATAGAAGAAAAAATAAAAAGCACAGACATCTTAAAGTTTCTCTGGCATTCACTTTTCCTATGTATCGATGTGAGAGATTCTCCTAATAAGTTTCCGTTCATTTGTCCACAGCTATTTATATTTAATTGAGCTCTTTAAAAAGGAGAATGGGTATATCTGGTCACACATCAGTGACTTCAACATGTCTGAAATCTCCCATCCTTCCCTTCAGTGTGCAACACAAAATGCTAACAAATATCAAATTCTACAAAAAGGAACTTATAGATATAAAAAAAGATCAACTGAAGGGGAATCTATCACCTGGTCATGAGCCTTACCTTTCAGGAGTGGCAGAGGTGTTAACTCAATAGGCTTGCCTTGAGACCTAAACTGTGAGGAACTTTGCGACCTCTTCTGTCTGGCTTTTCTGACGGACTTCCGAGAAAATCCGTCTACTTTATCCACTGATGGAGGAGTAGTTGGTGCTGAGGACATATCCCTACTGAAGAGAAAGAAGTATCATAAACACATTTCCAAAGTGGAAGAATACATGTAGGTTACACAAATTCTAAAATTCCCGTATACAATATTCGTGAAAATGGGAATATGTGATAAATAAAATCAATTAAGAAAAGTCATATTCAATAAAAAAACATTAAAATTTGGTGAAAATAGAAGTACTATAACTACTACATAAGCAATATTGTAATTCTAATGTACTGGGCAATATTCTAATGTACTGTGCTGCTCTTGGTATAAACATTACAGATACTCATTTAGACTTGAAGAACTCTTCTAAGCTACTCATTTTTGAACTGCAAAGCTCTTCTCAAGATTCTTGAAGTAATTTTGGAGCTATTCTGCAGTTGGAAAACTTCCATCAATACATTTTCCCACAATATTTAATACTATGAATGGGCTCTGGAGTTTAAACTCCTATTGTACTTCAAGAATCTAGACCAATGTATCACAGCAAGGTGAAATTTACAACTACCGAAATTATCTAGACATGACTTTTAATGCAATGTGCTGTGTTAGCTAAGATAAACTACACCACACGGCAAATGAGGACAGGCTAAATTACTTTAAACAGAACACATAAAAGGCATAATTAAAAATCATTTCAAAGAAGTCTTCTTTTTGAGTGAAGCCATCTTAAGTTATTAAAGCTTAATAAACAAAACTATGATGAAATGGTGCACCAAAGTTGAAATGAAAACTTAAATTCACAGCCTACTCAGATAACCTAGTTGAGTTCCCTTAAAATTCATGATCAAATATTAATTTCCATTCCATCAAACTGATGAACAGTTCTTATGGATTTTTCTTAACCCTATCAAATTATTAAAATGAAAGCTATTCCCCAAAAGTAACAAGCATTAAACTCAATTTCATTTACCAATTTAAACAGATGTCATCATTTCCATGGTACCGAGGCTCTGTGCAAGATTAATGGCAGACTTGAATAGATATAATGCATATGGGGAAAATGCCAAAATGCAATTACTCACCTGTCATTCCAATACATAAAACAAGTATTTTTTAAGCTCTAAATAAAAGAGTAAAGTAGTTTCTTCCTGAACGCGTGAGAATAAAAAGTTACCTGGATTACCTGGGTTCTAACAAAGTAAAAATAACAAAAACATAAACAAAAAACAAAACCACATGATGTGGAGGTCTGGAATTCTGAAGTCTTGTTTGGTTCTCTTTTTTTTTTTAGTTTTTAGAAACCTAATTTAGCTTTTAAAAATGTGACATTCAAAATGGAATTGCAAACTATGAATGACTACAGAAGAAGTAAGATCACTTCAAAATTTTCATAAAGACTGCATAAGCAAGAAGCTCCACATCACATCTGTATGTTGTAAATTTAGGGGTCGCTTTCCCAATCTGGTATGTGAATTACTTAGATTTCATTTAACTGTAACAACACAGGATTTCAGTAAATTCTGTTCCTCTATCACTCTTTTTGTCTCGTTTTTATCCCTATTTCTAAAGATTATTTATTGATAGTAATATTTTTTTAAAAGAATCATTTTCCCTTATACCCGCGGCCGCGAATAAACGTCAAGGATCTCAACCCTAAAGCGCTGCAGAACTGAACGTGCAGTAGCAACGGGTCCGTGTAAAGCCCCGGGAAACAGGTTTCGCCCTGAACCAAGGCGCCCGAAGCTTTATCATCCTCTAAGCAGTGGGCACGGGGCATTCCAAGGCTCAGGATAATCCAAAGGGGGTACTAGGATGAAGGAGAAAGACTAGAAATGGGTTTATCTGTGGGGATGCTCACATGCTCCCTTTGCTCCTACCCACCCCCACCGCAAGCCCTGAAGATAAGCTGCTACAGAATCCTCAGAACACCAATCCCCCATTCCCCCCGCCCCTGTCAGTGGATAAGGGGTACAAGAATACGCCTCCAATGCCGGAAGGTGGAGAAAAGGGGGGGAGGGGGCAGAGTGAATAAGAGGTATCATGAGAAGCATTTGAGGTAAATCAGACAAGTGGGACGGGCGCTCCCTCTCCCGCACCCCACCCCACCGCACCGCACTCCTCAGCTGCCTGGGCCAGGCCTTCCCGAGGCTGGTGCCCTGCAGATTCCCCAGGAAGACTGGTAAGAGGAAAGGAAGCAGGCGAACCGCTGAGCTGGAGGGACGAAGTTACCTTGAAGCTTCTGGGGAAGAATCCGAAGATGATCTGTGGTTTTGAGGGGCGGGAGACGCGCGAGAGGGCCGCAGCGAGAGCGGGTAGAGGGACCGGGACTTGCGGGGGGGAGGTCCGGACAGCGGCAGGGAACCCGGGGCGACGGCAGTCCGGCGCGGCGTCCCTCCGGTTCCGCGGCGGCGGCGCTTCTAGGCCTCACGGCCGGACTTGAACCTCAGCGCTTCCAGTGGCGGCGGCCTCACGATCCTCCCCCGCGGGCCCGTCCCATCAAATCGGCACCGACCCCGTTGCGGCTCCGCCGGTGGCTCCTTGCTCACATTCCCGGCGGGCGGCGCCTCTGCTCGTTGCCCCGGACCTGGCGGCGGCGGCGACGACGTGGGGTGGGGGGGAAGGGAAGGAGGAAGACTGGATCCGCAGCGGCAGCAGGAGGAGAAAGAAGGAGAAGGAGTAGGAGCCGCTGGAGCCGCCACTGCCAGAGCCGCCCTTCGATATCCGCGGTGAGTCCCAGTCAATGCCCCTTTCTCTCTCCTATTGTCAATATCACCGGGCGGCTGAGTCCATGGCACACTCTCAACCAAACCTTCTGGCCAGCAGCGCCCGCCCCCCGCGCCCATTCACTGGAGGCTTCAAACGGGAAGCGAGGCCTCATTGGCCGGCGTCCGCCTTCACTCCCGTGCCAGCATGTTCGGCTGAGAGCCGATACCGGATTGGCGGTGGGGGGGCGGAGAAACAGGAGGGTGGGAAGAGCCGAGACCGAGGATTGGGCTGAGGGGAGAGGAACCCGGATGCAGCGCGATCTCCGGCCGCGCTGCCGCCGCTTCCGCCAGGCATTTGGGGTTGGGGAGGCTGAAGAGGGTTGTTACAGCCGCCCCTAGGCCCGAGAGGCGTGCCTTAATCCCGGGAAGTGTGCGACTGACAGAGCAACGGAATGAGTTTCCACGCTGTGCGTGGCGGTCGTCTTCAACCAGAGGATTCTAAGGGCAAGAATCGGCCACGGGTGGGGAAGCCCCCGGTGCCTTGATTCCGTCCCCTTTATCGGCTGGGGTGGCCCTTCGGGGCTCGAGGAGCCCCAACTCAGGACCGGAACCAGCGCTGCGTGGACAGCAATAAGATCTCCAGCCCGCGCCTGTGTATATGGGCCCTTGCAGCCCGCTGTGAAACCCTGAGCAGTCGCTCTCCGCTGAACCCGTGGGAGGCCTGGCACCGAAATCTGAACCCCTGGGGCCTGGCCAAGGGTTGGGTATCGCTTCGAATTCTCTCACCTTGTCTCCTTTTCCCTGAACCTCTCTTGAATATCAGCTCCCTGGAGCTCCTACAAGTCTTGGCTGAGGCCGGTTCAGTGTAGATTATGCAGGTGGGAGTGCTGTCTCTACGCTCGCAAGCATTTATTGAGAT